ACTCACACAGTCAAAGATCGCCCCTATAGCCTTAACAGACTGTAGGGGCAAGTGCTGTTAGCGAGCACCTATGAAGGCCGGAACGGTACACGAGGGGGTGGGTGGCCAGCACCACGCCCGGCCGCCTTTGTCTCCGCAGTGGCGATGTTTATACATCGCACCAAGTACTCATTTGATTCTGAGTCGACCTGAACCGGCCCAGGACCGGTTCAGATAATCGTCATTGGCGTTGACCGCGAGCGGGAATTGAACCCGGGTTGCGAAGTTCATAGCGCAGCGCGCTAACTGCTACCCTACCGCTCCCACACACACACTCATTCACACACTCATTCACACACACTCACCCACTTATTCACTCACTCATACTCCACTCACACACTCATTCGCTCACACTCATGCACACACTCACACTCATTCACACACTCATTCATCCACTCAATCACTCACTCATACCCCACTCACATACTCATTCACACACTCTCGCACACACACAGTCATGCGCATAATTATTCAGCGTCTCTTTACGTATTGATAACCTCCTCCCCCCCCACACCTCGTTTATATTTTATGTAAATGGACTCTTCATCTCACGATTGTATGAATTAATAAACCTTTGAATTAATGAATGATTGTATTGACGAGTAAGCGAGTGGGTGAATGAATGCGGTTCCAAGTGAAGACTGCTGCGCGTGTGCCTCTGTATGAGGTGTGCTCGCTAACAGCACTTGCCCCAAAAGTGTGAAGAGGCTATACGGGGGGGGTTGTCTTTGCTTTGTATGCACGTGGAAGCTTTAATGGTGACACGTGTTCGCCGCTATGCACTCGGGGTTTCGTGAATGCTTAAGATGATACCCAGATTTCGATTTAAAGCTTACGTGACTGCAAGGATTCATCTTTTTTGGTTCTTTCGGTAAGGTCACGTAGAATGAGAATAAAATAATAAAATAACACAATAAAATTATCACGACGTTTCGGCCACAACGCAAGCGGCCGTCTTCAAGTGAAAGGTCTGTACCTTTCACCTGAAAGAACCAAAGCAGATGATACCCTTTCACCTAAAAAAAACAAAGAAGATGATACCCAGAGTCGAGAAGGATGAGGGGAGGGAGACAAGAGGGGAGAGAGACTCTGGAATAAGACAACAGCAGAATGGGTTTAACCAATAAGTTAATTCCTCAGAGCCCATAAGCGAGAGGGTATACTGGATGTGGTGTGGTGGGTGTGGACATTCATTTGCCGGGTCGTTGACCCAGACAGGAGCGGTCGATTGGTTTTCACGGTTTGTTGCGATAAAAGTGTATGCGTGTGTGCATGTGCCTCAAATTAGTTCCTGGTTACGGTGTGTAAACATCGCCACTGGGGAGACAAAGGTGGCCGGGCATGGTGCTGGGCACCCACCAACCTCGTGTGCCGTTCTGGTCTTCATAGCTGTTCGCTGACAGCACTTGCCCCGACAGTCTGTTCATGGCTACTCGGGGGACTCTTTGTTCGTGTGCTCTGCTTATGGGTGAGACAGGTCACGGTGCTAAGGGTCATTGAGTGAAAGGTCACGAGGCTAGGGTCTCGTAGTCATCTGTCTGTGTGACTACGTGTATGTACGTGTGTTGTGTCTCCCTGTATATCTCATTGTCTCAGTGCTCGCTGTTTGTCTGTGTGTGTGTGTGTCTGTGTGTGTGTGTCTGTGTGTGTGTGTGTCTAACTCCCAATCGGTGATGGGGCAGTTGTGGAGAGAGTGGGGAGTTTCCCATACCTGGGCAGTGTGCTTATGACTGGCTCCAGTTTAACAGCAGAGGTCTCACTCCGAATCAGTCGAGCGGCAATATCTTTTCATCGGTTGCGTAACGCTGTGTGGAAGCTACCTGGTCTGTCGCTCCGCACTAAGCTTCAGGTCTTCTCGGCCACGGTCATTCCCTCCCTTCTCTACGCTTGCGAAACGTGGACCCCCCTAATGGAACATCTTCGCCGGTTAGAAACATTTAGGCTGGCCTGCCTACGATCCATCCTGGGTTTAACCAGACTGGATTGTGTGAGGAGCTCACAAATCCTTGAAAGATCTGGGCAGGGTCCCATCGGTGAGCTCCTCCGGCAGGCAAGGCTGCGATGGCTGGGTCATGTAGCCCGCATGCCCAGCCACCGCATGCCGAAACAGCTTTTGTTTGGCCGGATTGAGGGGGCTAAGCGGGCGCGGCACGGGCTAGAGAAGAGATGGAGTGATGTGGTACAGGAGGACGTGGAGCTGAGTGGACTTGCCGATGACTGGTACCAGCGGTGTCAAGATCGGCCTCTGTGGAGGAGGCTCGTGAAGGATGCTACTGGGCAGTTGGAGGCAGTCGCCCTCCAACAACAACGGAAGACGGAGGAGCGACGCTCAGAACAACGAGCGGAGCGCCGGGTGGCTAAAGCACAGCAGGTTGGCACAGTAGGGGGCACAGGTGGTGCATCAGCCAGTCATCTCAGTCAGTCGACCCGTGGCACCTGGATCTGCCCCGTGACCTCCTGCCAGCGGGCGTTTGACACTTCACGTGGCCTCAGGGTGCACATAGCCTGGCACAAGCGTCGTGGTGACGTCACCGCCACTTAGTGGCGAATGGCGGTTGTTGTTGTGTGTGTCTATCTGTGTGACTACGTGTATGTACGTGTGTTGTGTCTCCCTGTATATCTCATTGTCTCTGTGTGTGTGTCTGTGTGTGTGTCTGTGTGTGTGTGTCTGTGTGTGTGTGTGTCTGTGTGTGTGTGTCTGTCTGTGTGACTACGTGTATGTACGTGTGTTGTGTCTCCCTGTTTATCTCACTGTCTCAGTGCTTGGTGTTTGTCTGTGTGTGTGTCTGTTTGTGTGTGTGTCTGTGTGTGTGTCTGTGTGTGTGAGACTGGAGCGTGCCACTAAGAGGTGGGGCCTTACCATCAGCCCCACCAAAACTAAGCACCTGCCTGGGTATTTTGTACCATCTGACACTACACCCCCACAACTCCCAATCGGTGATGGAACAGTTGTGGAGAGAGTGGAGTTTCCCATACCTTGGCAGTGTGCTTATGACTGGCTCTAGTTTAACAGCAGAGGTCTCACTCCGAATCAGTCGAGCGGCAATATCTTTTCATCGGTTGCGTAACGCTGTGTGGAAGCTACCTGGTCTGTCGCTCCGCACTAAGCTTCAGGTCTTCTCGGCCACGGTCATTCCCTCCCTTCTCTACGCTTGCGAAACGTGGACCCCCCTAATGGAACATCTTCGCCGGTTAGAAACATTTAGGCTGGCCTGCCTACGATCCATCCTGGGTTTAACCAGACTGGATTGTGTGAGGAGCTCACAAATCCTTGAAAGATCTGGGCAAGGTCCTATCGGTGAGCTCCTCCGGCGGGCAAGGCTGCAATGGCTGGGTCATGTAGCCCGCATGCCCAGCCACCGCATGCCAAAACAGCTTTTGTTCGGCCGGATTGAGGGGGCTAAACGGGCGCAGCACGGGCTAGAGAAGAGATGGAGTGATGTGGTACAGGAGGACGTGGAGCTGAGTGGACTTGGCGATGACTGGTACCAGCGGTGTCAAGATCGGCTTCTGTGGAGGAGGCTCGTGAAGGACGCTACTGGGCAGTTGGAGGTAGTCGCCCTCCAACAACAACGGAGGGCGGAGGAGCGACGCTTATAACAACGAGTGGAACGCCGGGTGGCTAAAGCACAGCAGGTTGGCACAGTAGGGGGCACAGGTGGTGCATTAGCCACTCATCTCAGTCAGTCGACCCGTGACACCTGGGTCTGCCCCGTGACCTCCTGCAAGCGGGCGTTCGACACTTCACGTGGCCTCAGGGTGCACATAGCCTGGCACAAGCGTCGTGGTGACGTCACCGCCACTTAGTGGTGAATGGCGGTTGTTGTTGTTGTGTGTGTGTGTGTGTGTCTGCCTGTTTCCCGATTAGCGCGCTGCACTTCGAACCCGGGCGACCCGAGTTCGGTTCCCGCTCACAGCAAACACCAGTGACGATTATCTGAACGGGCCCTGGGCCTCCCCTAGGTCGACTCAGCCTCAAATGAGTACCTGGTGCGGTGCGTAAAAACATCGCCACTAAGGAGATAAAGGCGGCTGGGCGTGGTGCTGGCCACCCACCCCCTCGTGTACCGTTCCAACCTTCATAGGTGTTCCTAACAGCACTTGCCCTAACAGTCTGTTCGAGGCTACACAGGGGATCTTTGTCTTTGTTTCGTCTCCCTGCCCGTGTATCTCCTTCTCTGTACGTGCATCTCTCTATTTAATGTGTGTAGTCTTGTCTCTGTGTGTCTGCATGCACATGTACGCGTGGTCCTGGTTCGATAGATATGGAACATCTGTCGTGTCGCGCAGGGCGGAAATCGGCCTCCCAAACGATCTCCTCTTCATCGACCCAAGAACGTCGTTGTTGACCCCCCCTACCCTACCCCCTCCCTCTCCTCTTCCCCACCCGTGGCCACGGCTAACATCAGTGGCGAGTGATGTCCAACCTAGACCTGTGCTCCACATTGGTTCAATGCAAGCGAACGCTGGTCCCGTTTCGACATGCAGCGTCTCATCAGCAGTCATCGGACTTGCTGTAAGCAATGCTGATGAATTGCCAGATGTTTCTAGGACCCCTGTTTCAAACTCACATTCACCCTGCCTCCCTCCCTCTCTCTCTCTCTCTCGTCATCTATCTCTTTCCCTCTCTCCATCCCTCTCCACCCCTCTTGTTCACACTCTCTCAAACTATCTCCATTCCTCTCCATCTCTCTCTCAATCTATCTTCATTCCTCTCCATCTCTCTCCATCTCTCTCCCTCTCTTCATCCCTCTCTTCCCCCTCTCTCAATATATCCCCATTCCTCTCCATCTCTCTCCATCTCTCCCCCTCTCTCCATCCCTCTCCATTCCTCTTGTCCACACTCCGTACATGTCCATCTCTCTCCCTTTCTTACCCTCTCTCCATCCTTCTATTTCCCATCTCTCAATCTATCTCCATGCATCTCAATCCCTCTCCCCCTTCCTCCCCACACACACAAGGAGGACCGCTCTCGTGGCCGCGTTGCCGAGGAGGGGAGGTACCCGGGAGGAGGAGGCGGAGAGCCACTCTCTGCGTGGAATCTCCCAGAGGGGCGGCTCGCTCCCGCGCTCCTTCAAGAACAACATCGGTGAGCCACGCGACGACGGATGGACCAGCGCATCGGTGGCATTGGGGCGATTGGGCACTCGATCTTTGGCACATTGACACTTTGGAACGCTGGGGCATATAGCGTTGGGACATTGGTTTATTGGGGCAGTGCAGCATTGGGATTTTGGGGCATTGAGACACGGGGAGATGGAACATGAGGATATTGAGATCTTGGGGAAATGGGACACGGGGCATTGGGACCCTGGAGAAATGGGATACGGGGCATTGAGACCCTGGGGAAATGAGACACGGGGCATTGAGACCCTGGAGAAATGGGACACGGGGCATTGAGACACTTGGGAAATGGGACACGGGGCATTGAGACCCTGGAGAAATGGGACACGGGGCATTGAGACCCTGGAGAAATGGGACACGGGGCATTGAGACCCTGGAGAAATAGGACACGGGGCATTGGGACCCTGGAGAAATGGGACACGGGGCGTTGAGACCCTGGAGAAATGGGACACGGGGCATTGAGACCCTGGAGAAATGGGACACGGGGTATTGAGACCCTGGGGAAATGGGTTACGGGGCATTGGGACTCTGGGACACTGAGAGAGTGGGTTAGCGAGTTTGTCCATGATACAAGCCAGCGTACGCGATGTTATTTGTCGTCCTGGGAGGGTTTTTGTTGTTGCGTGAGTCTGAGTTCACGTGCTCTTGTTTTCGATGTGCAGCGCTCTGTTCAGTCGCGCTTCCTACTTCCGGGACTTGTTTCGTGCCTTTTGTGAGCCTCAAGATAGCAAGCCGGCGATGATGATGATGGTTGGGATATTGGAGCTTCGCGTCGCATAGGGGCACGATGCGCATTGAGGAATTCGGTTCATAATAGAGTTTTTTTTTGGGTTAGATCACCTAAATATAAATGCGTCGTTAAACCCGCCACCGCCCGGCACGGCCAATTAGTGAGGTTTGTCACGTTTACAAAACCGCGTCAATTCGTTACTCTCCCAGCACGCCGGTGTGTTGGAGAGTAACAATTCGAGTACGACGTTTCGCCAGTAATCACACCCAGCGTCATCAGGCGACAGCCTACGCGTTTAACAGGAATTCGATCATTTGAGCTCCCACGTTTGCTACGTGTGCGCAGGTTCGATTCCGTCTCCTGGCGTGGCAAGTGAGACAATAGCAGGTTTCTTAACCCCCCCCCCTGCCCCCCACCACCACCCCACCAGCCCCACTCACTGCACTTTGTCCTGTCCACCCAACAGTGGAAGTGCTTAACCCCACGGTTAGTAGCGGAAGGCGCGTGTGGTGGGGAAACTTCTTTCGCGCCGTACACAGCCAGCCACGCTAATCGGAGTTGCGGAGCGGAAGTGCAATAATCTCGGCACAAAAAGCAGCTCTACGCAAACGCGTTTGCCAATGGAAAATGCTTTCAGAGTGAACAGCTTCAGCGGCTTCCTAACATCGGCAGGAAGAGCGTTCCAGACGGCCGCAGAAGCAGCGAATCTGAAAAACGCGCGGCGCGATGCGGTGACCACCGCCGTCTTGAGCCACACGCCGTGTGGATGGCCCCGACCCTTTAGCAAAGCGTCTCACCACCGTGGAAGAGTCGGTGAACGTAGGGTCCGTCGAGAGAGAGTCTCTCTCTCTCCCTCTCTCTCTCTCCATCAAGGTTACCGTTGTAATAGCAGCGACTCGTCGGGTTTGCTGGGCGAGCACATCAACTCCCTCCGGGTCAAACAACAACAACAAAAACAACAACAACAACATCAAAAGTCAATCGCAAGGAAGCCTGCGGCAGACCACTCGCGCGCGCGGGGGAGATGAGCAGGCAAAAGTCAAAAAACGAAACTGACGGACGCATCACCCGACACCACCGCCGCCACCCCCCTCCACCCCCCACCCACGAGCCCCGCGCCCATCCCCTGCCCCTGCCGTGAGTGTCGTCTTTGCCTGGCCGTGTCAGGACTCGACCGCTTGCCCCCTGTCAAGGCCTCCGTTGCCTCTCGTGAGAGTCACGGGAACCCTCTTGGGTGATTGGGGGGGGGCTGACGCAGAAGTGAAGGTGGTGGATGGGGCGCGGGCGGGGGGGTGGTTAAGCGAGTACGGCACGGTAGGTCCCCGCTTAACGCGTGGTGTGGGGGCGTCCGTGAATGACGTCACGCACCTGGGGGGGGCGGGGGGGAGGGGGTCAGACATTTGTGACGATGTGTGACGAGGGGGGAGGGGTTTCAGAAATGTGACGTCACATCAAAATGCGCAACTTTAAATAAATATGGACAACACGTTCTACTTAATTAAATAGACTTTTTAATGAATGTTTTCTCCTACACCATCAGAGTGCAGCGCCACATTAAATACGCACTACAATGACAATAGTTTAAAGCGATCTGAAGCAGGTTTTATTTTTTTTGGGGTGGGGGGCAAAACTTTGTGACGTCATTTTGAGGGGGGGGGGTCTGACTTTTTGTGAAGCCGTGTGACGAGGGGGAGGGGGGGGGGTCAAAAATCGTCCACAATCGCGTGACGTCATTTATGGACGGCCCCTGTTCACACTACAACGCGTTTTCGCTCCAACGCGGTTTCGTCCTTCCGGGGAGCACGTCTCGCCTCCGAGTAGCGCGGTTGGCTACGTACTGTGCGAAAGAAGTTCAGCGCACGTGCATCATTGGTGTTCCGGCTGGCAGAAATTGCTCCATACCGAGGTCTGGTACCGGTATCGCTTTGTTGAGCATTATACCGTACACTGCAGCAGTTCTGATGATAGATCTGTGGGGCTGACTGAGAAATATTGTCCGACGTTTGATCAGTGAAAAGGGTGGCAAATCTATCACTCACCCACTCATCTGCTCGCTCACCGACTCAATCAGTCACCCACTGACCCACCCATCCACCCACACACTCAGTAATTCATCCATCCATGCATCCACCCACTCGTTCACTCACTCATCCAGTCAATCGCCTACTCATTAATTCACTCACTCATTAATTCACTCACCCACTCACTCACTCCTTCATTTTTTCACCCGCTCGCTCACGGATTTACCCACTCACTCATCCAGTCACTCACCCACTCATTCACTCACTCACTTACCCGCTCACCCACTCACTCACTCACGCACTTACCCGCTCACCCACTCACTCACTCACACACTTACCCGCTCACCCACTCCGTCACTCACTCACACACTTACCCGCTCACCCACTCCGTCACTCACTCACACACTTACCCGCTCACCCATTCACTCACTCACGCACTTACCCGCTCACTCACGCACTTACCCGCTCACCCACTCACCCACTCACACACTTTACTCACCCACCCACCCGCTCACCCACTCGCTCGCTCATCCACCAGTATCGGTATTGCGTTCGACTTTACTCCGGCAGCCTGCAATGCGGCACAGCTCTGGCGAGAGACATCCCACCAGCGCCGACTGACACAACTCGCTGCTATTTGGTCTGCAGTGGTCGGGGGGGGGGGGGGAGGAGGTGAGCGGCCCAGAGTCCACGAGCGAGTTCAGCCACGGGACGTCTCGTCGCGCAATGTGCACAACGGCTCGTGCCGAACGGCATCGTTACCTCGTTACCCCATCGGCGATTTCGACCGTTGTGTCAAAGTTGTTTTTGCTTGGCACAGATTGTGCCGTGACCCCCACGGCCCTGCCAACCCCTGCCCCGCCCCTCCTCCCCCCCCCCTCCTCCCACCCCCCCCAAACACCCCTCGTCTGATGAGCCGAGTTAAATCGGACCGACGATCAAATCGTCGGGCACGGCTCTGGCTCCTCCGCCAATGAGGTTCGGAACAAGACGCAACAGCAACGCGCAGAGCAGCAGCACAGAGGGGCGTGTGGTGAAAACTTGGCGTGCTTAGTTTGTTGTCCTTCCCCCGCACCTCCGATTAGCGCGATTGGCTACGTACGGTGCGAAAGACGCTCAACAAACGTGCATAGACTCACACAGAGACCCATAGACTCACAAAGAGACCCGTAGACTCACACAGAGACACATAGACTCACACAGAGACCCGTAGACTCACACAGAGACCCACAGACTCACAAAGAGACCCATAGACTCACACAGAGACCCATAGACTCACACAGAGACCCATAGACTCACACAGAGACACAAAGACTCACACAGAGACCCATAGACTCACACAGAGACCCATAGACTCACACAGAGGCCCATAGACTCGCACAGAGACCCATAGACTCACACAGAGACCCATAGACTCACACAGAGACCCATAGACTCACACAGAGACCCACAGACTCGCACAGAGACCCATAGACTCACACAGAGACCCATAGACTCACACAGAGACCCATAGACTCACACAGAGACCCATAGACTCGCACAGAGACACAAAGACTTGCACAGAGACACAAAGACTCACACAGAGACACAAAGACACACACAGAGACCCATAGACTCACACAGAGCCCATAGACTCACACAGAGACCCACAGACTCGCACAGAGACCCATAGACTCACACAGAGACCCATAGACTCACACAGAGACCCATAGACTCACACAGAGACCCATAGACTCGCACAGAGACACAAAGACTTGCACAGAGACACAAAGACTCACACAGAGACACAAAGACACACACAGAGACCCATAGACTCACACAGAGACCCATAGACTCAAACAGAGATGCGTAGAGTCACATAGAGAACCATAGACTCACACAGAGACCCATAGACTCACACAGAGATGCAAAGACTCACACAAAGACCCATAGACTCACACAGAGACCCATAGACTCACACAGAGACTCATAGACTCAAACAAAGACCCATAGACTCACACAGAGACCCATAGACTCACACAGAGACCCATAGACTCACACAGAGACCCATAGACTCACTTAGACCCATAGACTCACACAGAGACCCATAGACTCACACAGAGACCCATAGACTCACACAGAGACCTATGGACTCACACAGAGACTCATAGACTCACACAGAGACCCATAGACTCGCACAGAGACCCATAGACTCACACAGAGACCCACAGACTC